ACTATTTTCTACGATCGCTATCCAAAATAGGCTTTTGCAAAGTTGACGTTTTCTGCTAACTGACATTAAGAGACAACTTTGTCGCTTGCCTAATTTAATATAGATATAATATAATAATATTTCTTTTTAATAAATGATTTTGAAGTTATTTGTACCTAGTTTGATGTCTTTTCTTTAATTATCCAACTTAACATTGACTTTGAATATCAACTCCTTTTTTCATAAATAACATAGATATACACTACTTATGACAAATTTTCATTTTTCATATCTATTTCTTAAAAAAGTGTTATCGTAGAAAAAATCCTGTGTTCTTTTTGAGTAAAAAGTTCGTTGTCGCTTTCGACACACTACCGCGGTCTGCTACGCGTCGCGCGTATTACGTTCTGTCTCAAGCGGCGAAGTATCACTTTACGCTCTTAACACATAAATAGCTATTCTTATTCCATCCTTACCCATCTCTCTGTATCTATAAGGTGTGGAGGGTGGGTTACCCCACGGCACTTATGCCTCATTAGGCCTATTTATTGGCGTGACCTTTAATCCATGTTAAGGTGACCACATTGTTGATGGATACTTCGGCCAAAGCTTCGTGACATTCTAGTACTAACCCTGAATAAATTCGTGGTCTGTTCAGGGTGAGTAGAGCTTGTCTGCTATCTATATAGATGAGCATGTTCCTTCCAGTGATATTGTTTCTGGTTATTTCTTTTGCTGCTATGAGAATCCTCATTAGCTCTGTTGGAACTACACTGGCACTATTGCTCACAGCCCATTTTATGTTTAGATCTAAGAGTTTGGAGTATGTTCCACATCCTGAGCCTTGTTTTGTTTTGGAACCGTCGGTGTAGAAATGAATCGTACCTGCCACTTCCGGCTTTTCTATTTATTCTACTATAACTTTATATGGCTTATGGAAGATATATTTCTGTGAGATGGAGTCCATGTTCGCTTGAAGCAGTGGGAGCGTATCGAGCGTCTCCTGCCAAAAGGGACGTATCGCCTCACCAGATCGTACATCAGGTTCTATTCTGACCGTGCGGAGGGCTGTCGTTATCGTCAGAGCAACCTGATTGATGTAAATATCAAGGGGAGTGAGACTAAGAATGACTTCCATGGCTCTAGTCGGTGTTGTTTTCATGGCTCCTGTTATGTTGAGACATGCTGTTCTTTAAATTTGTTCTAGTTTACGGATAGCTGTTAATTTTTGGATTTTCGGTACCCAGAAAACTGCACCGTATGTTAACATAGGTCTTATGATAGCCATGTAAGTACTTGCGACGACTCTGGGGAGAAACCCCAGGTGCGCCCCACGGTTCTGCGGCATTGTTCATAAGCAATGTATGCTCTTTTAACTCTGTTTTCTAAATGCGAGTTCCATGTTAACTTGCTGTCAAAGGTGAGACCTAGGTACTTCACCTCTGTTGCAAAGTTTAGTTTTGTGTTTAGGAGTTCTGGAGGTTTTAATTCCATTTTCATCCTTTTCTTTCTAAAAAGGACAATTTCTGTCTCCTTAGGATTGATAAACAGTGAATGGTCCTTGTACCACTGTTCTATCATTTTTAGAGCTACTTGCATTCTTTCGCAGAGTATGTTCTCAAAATTCCTTGTTTGCAGAATTACCAGGTCATCTGCATATGCTATTTTGTAGTGACTGTCATTATGCGGTTGATGAGGGTGTCGAGGACCGTATTCCACAGTAGAGGTGATAGCACCCCTCCCTGTGGACATCCCCTGGTAACCAACCCTCTTATATTCACATCTTCTACACTTATGTTTACTGCTCGCTTTGAGAGCATGTTATGTATCCAGCCACTAACCATTTATGGAACATTCCTGTTGGTTAGTGAGTGTATTATCTTTGGTAAGCTGGTTTTAGGGCTGAATCAGTAGATCTACCTGGGGTATATGCATGTTGGTTTGGATATAGTGGTGTTGTTGTAATCACCGCATTCTTTATGTACTTTTCGCATAGCCTTTCCAATGTTTTCATGGAAAACGATTTCAAACTAATTGGTCGGTATGTTTTTGGGACAGTGTAATCCATCCTTCCAGGTTTGGGTATAAATACCACTTTTACCTCTCTCCATTTTTGGGGATATACCTCAGAGCCAACGAGGATCTGAATATACCCGCCAGGTGCAGTATGAGTTCTTCCAGACCCCCACTGAAGTAGGGCTGGATAGATATCGTCAGGTCCTGGCGATTTAAATGGAGAGAAGCTGGATATTGCCCATCTAAATTTTTCATCGTCTACAATGTGTTTGGAAATTTGCCAATCATAGACAAATGGATTGCATTCTTCCTCTGCCCAGACCGCCACGTGAGGACCGAGTCAGGGAAGTGTGTTAACAGCAGAAGTTTGATGCTATCTTCGAGTTGGGAGTTTTCGTGCCATCCCCTTTGATTAGCGCACCAATGCTTCGGTGTGGATCTTTTGAGAGAGCTTTTTGAAGCCTCGCTGCCTGCGGGATATCTTCGATTTCTTCGCAGTAGGATCTCCATGCATCTCTCTGTTTTTGTCTGACGATTTTTTTATATATTCTCTGAGCTGAGGTGAGATTTGTAAGTATCCCAGTCCTCTTGGAGTTTTGTGGTTCTTGCCCTATTAAAAGATTTCCTAGCCATCTTCTTGAGGTGATCCAACTCGTGACACCACAATGCGGTAGTCGTCTGATCGTGTATGACCAGCTCAGAGGACAGAATTTCTTATAGGCATTGTTTATTGTGCTTTGGATAGTGTGCGTGTACTTTTCTAAAGCAGTATTATTGTTTGGTGTTTCGGCCTCCATCTCTCTCAGAGCCTCTTGGAGAAGGTAGGCATAGGTTGCCCTGTCCGTCTTCCTAAGGTTTCAAGATAGTGTGGAGGTCGGCAACATCAAGTTTATTTTGAATGTTAACCAGGGGTGGTCTGACATCGAAATGTTATCAGATACTTGCCAGTTTAGAATTAATTTATAGATACCAGTTGTGGATAAAGTGATATCTATTAGTGTTTGACTGCGAGAGTTTAAAAATGTTGGTGTGGTACTTTTATTTAAAATATAAAGATTTTTGGTAATTATATAATCATAAAGTGACTTACCTCTAGCGTAGTTATCCTTACCCATAAAAAGCCTCTGATGAAAAAAGTAAGAAAATCTTTGACATTTGAATAGAAAAAAAAAAACAAAATCTTAACGATTTATAACTTTATTTAATACATTAATCATGTAATTAGATATACAATATAATAATTAACACTGATGGCGTATATACGGTAACCTTTGGTTTAAAAATAGGATTTCATAAGAAACAGTCAGCTGCAAAAAAGTTACTCATTAAACAAAACATTTAAAAAAACTCACGAACGTGCTTTCGCACCGTAAAAACAATGTTCTGAATAAAATATAAATATCTTTGGACGCAAGAATACTGTTTATACGTTTAGCTGGAATTATTGTAATTACAAATTATACCGAGCAACATTTTTGCAACAAATAACTTAAAATAAATAATACGAGAGAAAAAAGATATGTATATAAAAAATAATTTTTGGTTTAAATACGTTTGGACTTAATTAAGTATATTAAAATATATCGTTGGTTGACAAGAGTAGTGATAATACTCAAAAATATTTTAAAAATGTTTAAATCTGTTTTAGAAATAAACATTAGTGTTTATATTGTATTTAAACAAGTTTGCTTTGAAAACATTAAGAAAAAACAACAATATTATATTTTCATCCATTTTTTGAGTTATGACGATCTTCCATAAAAGTATATTTCACACTGTATTCACAATGATCTTTCAAACAATAATATCTTAGTTTGACTTGTGTCACTGTTGAAAACCATATTAGTTTATTTTAAATAAAACTTGCATATTTTGATTTATGTCACTCTAGCCGAAATTCGACTATCTTGTCTCATTGAGTGACGCAGCATTCTTCAACATCATAAACTCGCGACACAACCGATTTATATGCGGATTTTGTTATACATTTTGTCGTCAATATCACGAAGTGACGTAACTCGAAAAAATTGAAAATTGAGATAAGTCACATATTATGTAAAAAAGTATGCTCTACAATTTCACGAAATTGCGTATTTCAATTCATTACATTTATTAAAATAGCACGTATCTAACTGGTATATCTGATAATTTCACGAAGAGACATAACTTTACACAGAAAATTTTAAAACGCTGTCTTGTAAAGTTGTGAAAATCGAGTTACGTCACTTCATGATATTTGTGACGGTTTAAGCTGGAAAAAGATTTTTTGAGTAGTGTCACTATTCTTATGCACCAACGATATGTAAAATTGATTAATATAGGGACATTTTTCTACATTTACAATTTTATAATTAGAATTAACTACCTTTTAGCAAAAAAAACATATTTATAAATACTGAGAGGTTTTGTAGAAGAAAAACCAGATAACCCAGTCTATTTATCATTTTAATGTATCCTGTCATTTTAAATATCGAACTGGTCCTTCTATAAATCAACCTAGAAGGTGATATCCAAAAAAAATTGTAATAAACACTTTTCAAATGATACATTCTGATACACACGGTGTCCCAAAAAGATTGGTCATAAATTATAATACATATATCACATTTTTTTTAGATCTAACCTCTATAGGTAAAAAATGAGTGATTCAAGTACATATTACTCTCTTTTAAATGAATTAATTGTTAATCCAAACGCTGCTCTTATTATAACTAATCATAATAAATAAAAATAGCGCCTATAACCTCTATTTTTCAACTGTCATTTGTCATTGGTACACAAATTACGTCATCACTTGCTGGGAAAATTTAAAAACCCAAGGTTGTTAAGCCTGCTTGTTATAATGATGACAGTCGACAGTTTGTTAATAGAACTTTCTATGTCAAAAAATATGTAATGCCATATGTTTATTTTACAATAAATCGTTTGTCTGATACTTTATCTGCAATAAATATGAAGTATTGCCTAAACATTTTGAGAAAATAAAAACTGGCCCAGTAATATTTAAAAACAACGATGTAGAAAAATGCCCACAAATTGACAATAAAATTTCTCCATCTCCATGACTACCAACATTTTTTAAACGTGAATTCTAATTCGAAATAGAGTGCTGGCAAGAAAGTTAACTATAAATAGTATTCAATTGTTGCGTGCAGCGAACGAAGGTGGCTCTGCGCGGTAATTCTTTCAATTTTTGCGCGCCGGTATAAGTGCAGGCGCTGCGGAGGCCGCCCAAAATGTCCTGGACCGTATTTTGGACTTCGCCCCTGTAGGGCACCTCGACCGTCTTACCTTCGGATGCTCTGTATTCGGCAACGCCACCTAGAAAGCGTTTAACACGGTTATATTTTAAAAATTTCTTTAAATTTCTTTAAATTTCTTTAAATTTCTTTAAATTTCTTTAAATTTCTTTAAATTTCTTTAAATTTCTTTAAATTTCTTTAAATTTCTTTAAATTTCTTTAAATTTCTTTAAATTTCTTTAAATTTCTTTAAATTTCTTTAAATTTCTTTAAATTTCTTTAAATTTCTTTAAATTTCTTTAAATTTCTTTAAATTTCCTTAAATTTCTTTAAATTTCTTTAAATTTCTTTAAATTTCTTTAAATTTCTTTAAATTTCTTTAAATTTCTTTAAATTTCTTTAAATTTCTTTAAATTTCTTTAAATTTCTTTAAATTTCTTTAAATTTCTTTAAATTTCTTTAAATTTCTTTAAATTTCTTTAAATTTCTTTAAATTTCTTTAAATTTCTTTAAATTTCTTTAAATTTCTTTAAATTTCTTTAAATTTCTTTAAATTTCTTTAAATTTCTTTAAATTTCTTTAAATTTCTTTAAATTTCTTTAAATTTCTTTAAATTTCTTTAAATTTCTTTAAATTTCTTTAAATTTCTTTAAATTTCTTTAAATTTCTTTAAATTTCTTTAAATTTCTTTAAATTTCTTTAAATTTCTTTAAATTTCTTTAAATTTCTTTAAATTTCTTTAAATTTCTTTAAATTTCTTTAAATTTCTTTAAATTTCTTTAAATTTCTTTAAATTTCTTTAAATTTCTTTAAATTTCTTTAAATTTCTTTAAATTTCTTTAAATTTCTTTAAATTTCTTTAAATTTCCTTAAATTTCTTTAAATTTCTTTAAATTTCTTTAAATTTCTTTAAATTTCTTTAAATTTCTTTAAATTTCTTTAAATTTCTTTAAATTTCTTTAAATTTCTTTAAATTTCTTTAAATTTCTTTAAATTTCTTTAAATTTCTTTAAATTTCTTTAAATTTCTTTAAATTTCTTTAAATTTCTTTAAATTTCTTTAAATTTCTTTAAATTTCTTTAAATTTCTTTAAATTTCTTTAAATTTCTTTAAATTTCTTTAAATTTCTTTAAATTTCTTTAAATTTCTTTAAATTTCTTTAAATTTCTTTAAATTTCTTTAAATTTCTTTAAATTTCTTTAAATTTCTTTAAATTTCTTTAAATTTCTTTAAATTTCTTTAAATTTCTTTAAATTTCTTTAAATTTCTTTAAATTTCTTTAAATTTCTTTAAATTTCTTTAAATTTCTTTAAATTTCTTTAAATTTCTTTAAATTTCTTTAAATTTCTTTAAATTTCTTTAAATTTCTTTAAATTTCTTTAAAATTTCTTTAAATTTCTTTAAAATAATTCTCCGACGTTTCGATTATTTGAAACCTTCCTCAGATTTTGCCTATAAACAAATCATACCTGCATGTTTTTGCATGGCCGTAGACGAAGACATTCCGTAAAATAGTTTGAATTTTTTTCCATTCTTTTCTATGGTCTCTCCATCGCATTCATCGTGACCAGCGAACATGCCGCCCGCCATTACGAAATCAGCACCGGCTCCAAAGGCTTTGGCCACGTCACCAGGACACGTACAACCGCCATCCTAAAAGATACAAAATGGCGTCAGTGTTCTGGTAATGCCTTATTTTTCAGATTATAATAAATTTTAAAAGTTGGGCGCTAATTTGTATCTAAAAAACTTTAAGCAAAGCTTCTTCAAGCTCTTCAATCAACACTAACATACATCCCGTTCACTTTCATAGCACCACTGAATTTAAAAAAAAAACTGAGTGTCACGATATAGTTGTACCAGTACGTATGCCATTAAAAATAGCTGTCACTTTTCATACTAGTTACAAATGATTACATTAAGGAACATCAATAACGTTACTAGTTATTTTTTACTTACAGAAATGATGTGACCTTGCAATCCATGAGCGGCGTCTGCGCATTCAATGACAGCTGACAGCTGCGGATAACCTACACCAGTTTTCATGCGAGTAGTACATACGGATCCCGGACCTATACCCACTTTTATCACATCAGCTCCTGATAAAATTAATTCCTCCACCATTTCTCCCGTTACTACATTACCAGCCTTAAAAACACAGTTTTTAATTTAAGAAAAATTAAACTGCGAGAATCACTTACGATTATTGTGTGCGTAGGGTAAGCAGCTCTGACTTTCCTGACGTAATCGACAAAATGTTGGGAATATCCGTTTGCGACGTCCAAGCAGATAAATGTCACTCCTGGAATGGCATTCAGGATTTCAGATAACTTCACAAAATCGGCTTCTGACATTCCAGAACTAGCGGCGATGTTTTGTAGACAATCTGGATTTTCTGAAGCGAAATTTCGCCATTCATCTACGGTGTAGTACTTGTGTATGCATGTAAATAAGCCGTTCTAAAAACATAGTTTTTGTAAACGCAATTTTAATTTAATTCCCTGTAATATAAAAACCATCAAACCACAAAATTTCAGATTTTTTCAATTAATTTGTTAATTGGTTTACAAAATAATACCTTAGATAGTGCTTTTGCCACATTGAAAGTCCCCACCGTGTCCATATTGGAAGCCATGACAGGTATGCCATTATAGGTTTGCTTAGAATTCCTAAATGTAATATTCCTATACAGATTTACCTACAATAAATAATTGAATTAAAACATTTCTAAAGTTTAAATACAGAGTGGGCCACCGAAAACGTTCCACCCAAGTTTTATTTGTATTCATTTTTTGCATTAATACGATAAAAAAACTAAGTGAAAAGTTAACGAAGTCCCACCCTGTATATATAGAACGCAAACAAAAGCTGGACAGGCTTTTCGCAGTTCTTCCACTTCATTGACAGAAAATTTTGTAGAATTATAAATTGGAATATTATACTTGTTTAAATAATTATTACTAGCCCATAAATACGTACAATTGCCCGATTTCGCTGGTAATAATTTAAAATTGCTGACATTATTTTTATTCTACGATACGACACTGACAAACAAACATTGCCGCAAAATTCTTAACTTTTACCACGTCTCCACCTACCAAAGGCCTGTTAAACTTATGTCCCTGCTTTAATTAAAAATAAAACTCCTGACTACGGCCCTGTTGCAAAGCGCATGCACGAAACCAATGAAGTATACGTGATCGGCCATTTTTGGTCCAAAAGTCATTGATTAAAAAAAAAAATATTGATAATCGGCAAATTAGGTCGTGTTTATAATATAAAAAAATATATATCAATAGACAATTATTGTGCTTTAAAAATGTTTAAAGTACCTATCGTAAAATAAAATAACCTTGAAATTGTTAGATTTTAAAATTAGCAAATTTCCCTGTTTCTTATCTGGATTTTTTTAGACTTTTGAGATACTGCAGTTGGTAATTTACTAATTAGCAAAATTTTAAAATACAACGTCAAATAAGGTTTGTTTAGGATAAATCTAGGAGTCTAACAAAACTGGGTGTGCAAAAAATAGCTGAACAAGCAAAAACGAAAAAGCGTTTGGCAAATAAAAGCTTAAATCGATACAATATACAAAAATTGGCACACATTCTGCACACCTACTCACATCGTTTCTGCTTTTTATCGTAGATCGCTTAGGTCGAAGTAGAACATCTTTGAAATCTAATTTAATTTCATTAATGATATTGGGCATTTTTTAATTTGTTGCTTGAACCTACTAAAACATTAAAATTAAAATAACTTTCTGCTGACTTTACTTACGTCAGGCTGGATCCCCCCTATTAATTTTTGGATGTGCGAAATAAATGATTTTCGATTATGTTATGAAACTGCATGCCACAGGAAGTGGTTAGCAAGCCACCGGATGGGATTTATAAATTGAAATGAGGTCGATAATTGCAACGATTCCTAAATTTGCTCTCCTGGATAACATTAAGACTTGAAACATTGTCTTTATAATAGAAAGATACTAAAAACTGGGATAAAAATTCTATTGTTAAGCGTAATGTATTTTAAATTTTAATATTAAAATTATATTTTAAAAATACGTTGTTCAAATTGTAGCCATAATCTAGTTATTTATAAACTTTGGCAGCAGCACAATTTACAACGGTCAGTATTTTGTGTTGCCTAAAACCGTTATGATAACTCAATTTTCATTCTTTTTCACCAATGGTATATAGTTATATAAACATGGAGGTATAACCCTGATCGGTATTCTCGGGTATAACCTCATTGTATATAAATTGCTCATCCATATGTACCAGACGAAGAAAAGCGTGACGCCATGGGCGCCTCACTGAACAGAACCGCCCTGGCCCAAATGTGATATAAAATGTTGGCATTTAAATAATATTTAAAAAAAAAAAAACCTCAATTTTTAGTTTAAACACGATATTATGTTAGGTATTTTGAAAATATTTTTTTTTGTATCATAAAGTCAAATAATACTAAGAGATCGGAACAATTTTTATTACCGATAGAAATAATTTTAGAGTACTCTTGTTTCAGAAATACCACTATATATGAAACACATAGGTAACTGCAATATATAATACAACTTTGAAAAGGTAAGTAAACAAGTTTGATATGAAATATAAATAATGCATCTATAACTTTGGTGATCGTTGTGTTAAACGAAATTTAAATTACGAAACAAAGATTAAAATAACATTTTTACAGTAACAATGTCATTTTAATCTTTGTTTAGTAATTTAAACTTCTTTTAACACAACACGGTGGAATCGGACCTAAGATATGTAGCCACACTATATTGGCACTTATATGAGTAATATTTAATGTTATTATTATAATAATAATATTAATAACCAGTAATAACTAATTGTATAGATTACATAACAAGCCAGACAACACACCAAATCCCAGAGATATCCACCAGAATATCTTTTGTGGATATCCAATATATCCACAGGATATCAGAAATGTTCCGTGGATCTAATATGGATATCCAAATATCCGTCTATATCCAGAATATAGAAGATATCATGGATTATCCAGCAACATATCTAATGGGTATCTTCCAGACAATACGAGAAATTCCAGAGATATCCACAGAATATATTTTGTGGATATCCAATATGGATATCCAACCAAATGTCCGTCTGTATCCCAGGATATAGAAGAATTCGGATATTCAGCAAAATATTTTATGGGTATCTTTAGTAGAGGTTCATAAAAGTAACCAATGTTTATTGAATAACGTCGAAAGAAAATAGCAGAGAAAAAATATTTTCAACACTCTGCCTTTGATTTTGCCCACTAAGGAGAAAGTCATCCTTATTAGGACTCTTTAGCAATAAATGGAAATTCTCGACTCCAGTCTCTAATGGAGTCTGATTGGGAAACAAATTTCGATCGAACTCAATTACGGCAAGATTCTGATTTCTAAACCGGTTCTGTAAATGATTTATTTACAAATGAATACTCAAAATTGAACGAAAACGCATTATTGCATGTAGGTATTAGGACCGATTCCACCGTTGTGTTAAACGAAGTTTAATTTTTACACTAAAAATGTCATTTTAATCTCCGGTTAACACAAGGGTGGAATCGGCCCTTATTAGATAAAGAGAAAGCTTTTCCCAATGAAACCCGCTTTTCGTCGTCTGATTTATATATGGATAAGCAATCTATATTGGCAACATGATTTACACCATTCAGTATATTGTGTTGCCTAAAACTCGATTTCAGGTCTCACGTGTTTTTAGGTTATGTTTACATGTGAATGCCATCAAATTTTATAAATTATAATCATTCACTGAAATAGTTTTAATTTTATTATCCAAATAATGGATAAAGTGAAAAAATTCGACACTATTATTCGAACCATAGAAGATGACGAAGAAATAGAAGATTTGTCTGAAAATAGTGATGTTGAAGTTGAGGTTAGTACCCAGGTGATTTTTTAAATTAAATTCATATCTTAATGGTTTATTATTCTAGTTTCAACCGACGAAACAAAAATCAATAAATAAAGCTGCATTCGATAACGAATTCAACTTTGTAAGTTCGATAGAAGAATATAATAAAGATAGGTGGAACGATTTAACAAAATATGTTAAACGTAAAGCAAAACAGAAAACCGATGATAAAATTAAAAAATTCAGAACCACAGAGACCGAGGAGGATGTAGAAGAAAACGGAGACGCAGATGCACAATCAGATATCTCACTTTCCGATGACGAATTAAAACATGACAAGATCAAACTAAAGAAAAAGAATACAAAAAAGAAAGCGAAAGAAGTTGATGAGGCTGAATTTTTTGAAGATGTAGAGTTCAATTCTGAGGAAAATGTTAGTTTTTATCAAATGAATTTATCTAGGCCATTGTTGAAGGCTATTTCTGATATGAAATTCGTACATCCAACTCCTATTCAAGCAGCCACCATACCTGTAGCATTACTGGGTAAGAATTGTCTTTGTTTTCTTGTGATTATCAAATCAAGTTCTTCAGGAATTCATTCAAAACTTTTAACAATATTACTTTTTATAAAAATTGTATTTGATTTAACCCTTTCAGGCACTACTTTTTCCCAGCTATTGGAAAATTCTCATATTTCGTATATAGTAACAACTATTTTCTTTTTTTGATAATTTTATGAACTTTTTCATTTTGATATGTCACCTATAACATGACTTATGCCATGTCTGTGTTGATGGACATTTTGACTTGAAGCAGAATAAAATAAAAACTGATATTTATAAACATTAGAATAACAAAATAAGAAATAAAACAATGTTTCGTATACATAATAAATAAATCATTTAACATAAATTAAAAAAAAAACAATCTCAGTGCTTTGGTTGGAATTTTTTTTCTATTCCTCAAACATTGGCTGTTCTCATGGTATGGGATGTTTTGTAGTCACTTAATTAGAATGTTCTAAAATCTGTTCTTCTATCAATTTGTCAAAAAGAGTTTCCTCCATCATTGATGAATTATGTGCAAACATTTAGGTCTCTGATACCAGAGATAAGCCAAATACTATTTGTGTCATCATCTGCCAAATCCAATATTTCTGAGTAATTCCAGAAGTTTATCTTCACTCATGGGTGGTTGCCATCTTTTTCTCTTATTAGTTGAAGGCAAACTTTCCATTTAATTGATATCTATAAAAAATATATCCTAATTTTTATAGGCAAGTCATTTTATCCAACTACATGGAGTTGAAAATACATACATACATACCACTTTATAAGATCTCTACATTTAACAGTTTAAAAGAACCCCCATGGTTGGATTTCACCATACCTAGAGGTACAATATCAAATAACTACAATGTGTTCCTTAAGGCACCATATTGGGGCCTATATTTTTGTTTTCTTTATTAATGATATATCAAATAATCAAAGTTTAAATCAAATCCATACAACCCAATATAAAGGTCTATCTATACTATTTAGTTTCTTTTTAAATCCACAGTAGCTGTAGAAATTTGGCAGATTTCACTTTGTATATTATTAATATCATTTATTCTTACAATACTTTTTATGCCTACTAGATAAATAAATTGTATATTGGTTTGTTTTATTCTTATTAAGTGTATTTTATATTTTAGCATCATTCTAATATCACTTTAGTAGCTTTTTAATACCATTTAGGATTTAGGCATCAGTTTAATATAATTTTAGCATCATTTTATCATCATTTAAGCCTCATTTTAATATCATTTTAATATTATTTTAATACCAAAAAAAAAGAAGGAAATAATTCCAAACTCAAATGTGACTGAGATGTAAAATACAGAGTGTTGAAAATATTTTCTATCTCTGCTATTTTCTTTTGACGTAATTCAATACCTGGTGAGGCATTAGCCAAAGGAGTAGTTGTTGTCAAAAGAGAAACGGCCGCACATATACTGTTTGATGTATTTTTAAATATCATATTAATATCATTTTAGCATCATTGTAATATTAATGTTTTTTTGAGGTTATGTGCATATTAATATAATTTTAGCATCATTTTAATATTACGAAGTGACTACGTGCACGTACCTGTAATTTATTTTTTACGGGCACGATAGACTCTATTGAATGGATAAACACTCATCACTGCCGTCCCGCTTTCGAAAACTGGCGACACGTCAACTGGTCAACGTCGAACTGTTACATAACCTACTTGTGTTTAGTTTATTGTTTTCACGTTTGAAGTTTTAATCACAAATTTACCTTTATCTATTTTTTTTATCTGTTATTGTAGACTGTTTTTGATCATCTATACTACAATTGTATCCTAAGGGTCTGTCTTTTCACCTTCAGATAAACTTCTTGATAATTAACTGACGGATATATTATCTAAGAGTTACTATCTGTCAGAAAATTAAGTTTCTGTCTTTTCAAGTAAATAATATGTAGAGTAGGTATCTAGTAGTTTTTAACCTTATGTAGTTATGTTGCTACCTGTTTATCTATCAGTGTAGTATTTTATCAAGACTTCCCTTAGTAAGATAAGTTCTATTTCAGAAGTAAGGTTTATCCAGAAGTGAAAATATCACTTTTTAAGTTACTTGGGAGAAAAACATTACCTGACACTTTATTTGAAGGTGAAAAGACCGACCCTAAATGAGACTGAAACTCGGACTGAAACAGAATTTGTCAGCACATATTTGTCATTGGGAGCAAACAAAAAGAAAATTCAAAATAAAATATTAGTGGACAGTGGTAAAAAACCACATTGAAAGATTTACATAATATTTTAGCTTTTAATATAATATCGCTATCGCTACATTCAGAATACAGACATGACAAATGACAACACTGTGGACTGCAAATCGAATAATGGCCACCTGGAACGTAACAAATATACCTATGTATTTTCTCAGTTTTTTAGCTTACAAATGTACACACACCGGCATATTTAAAGGAACAGATATAAAATCTAATTATTTACTCTATAATATACATATAGGTTGGTATTGTTAATGTTTCTCACATAATTTCTTAACACGAAGTTAGGTAAAGTATTAAGAATATTTTTTACAAAAATTAGTAAAAAATACCAACCGTAGCCATAGTTTATTGTATCAAGGTCCACGGGTTATTAAGCTATTGCATAGCTTTTATCGCGGGCTTTGAGCGCGGCGACCGAATCAAGAAATTCCGTAACAACCGTAATGAAAGTAAACCTAACATGGGGGACACTCCGACCAGTACAGCGATGCGGCGTTGAAAGCCGTGGAAGGTTTTATCCGACCCTATTCGTATTAGTATGAAGCGGAGTTAAATATACGTCTGCGGACTGGAACGTAAAGTAAAGTAAATTTTATTTGACTACGTTACATATTACAATATATGTTTGTAGCAAGTCACAAAACGTACATATTAAAATAACAGCTTATTTTTAAACATAAAATACAGAACTACACAATGAAATAACTACATACATATAATTGTTAAGTAGAATAAAATAACTCAAATTAAGTTAGGTGAGTATATATAAAAAATAAGAGAAAACAAATAGAGTAGAAGGTTTAAGAACTATGTAAGTTTACACCGATCGATATATTCCTCTGCGGAATAAAAACAATGTGTCAACATAAATGTTTTTAATTTTTTCTTAAATGAATTGAATTCCAGCAGCCCAAACTCGGATGGCAATACATTATAAAGACCAAGGTCGAGGGAATTGTTTTTTGATTTATTTATTTACGTTTATGCAATACAAGAACTAGAAGAGCTTTCTCTGGCTTCTAATAAATTGGTATCACAAATGTTCCCGGCTGACGTAAATATTAGATTTATAAAATATTAATTTTTATTTTATCAGTGTTAACTATTTCATTATTATTATTAAAAATCGAAAAAGAAATTCCGTAACGAAAATAAACCTAACAACCCCCACTCCGACCGGCACAGCGGTGCGGCGTTAAAAGCCGTGCATCGTCTAACGTCGTTTCAGTTCGGCAGACTTCGGCACGGTGTTTGTGTGCGTGCGACTAGACGTATGCGTGTAGACTAGCTGCTAACTGCTCATAACTGATTCTATCTCTTGTAGACACAATTTCGAAAAAATTGAATTTGAAAATGAATAATGATCACAAGAATCCACAACAAAATATGACGAGATGCTAAATGCCACTGGTGGCTCCATATAATGCGCATGCTCGCTAAATTGTCATAAGAATGATGTAAATATACGCGGCAAAGTTTAAAAACATGTAAAAGGAATCTTTTTACGTATTTCAATAATTGTCAGATACAAAAATGAAGGGACTTTTAAAAACTGTTAATACAGTAAGTAAGGATATTAAAAATAGGTGTTTAAATAGTTTTTTAATGTATTTAAATAATGGAGGGCGTTTTAAAAATTATGAATGCAGTAAATAGAATATTCAAAATAAGTGATTAAAATGTTTTTAATATAAATAACTGGTATTTCGAATTTTTTCTTAATAAAACGAATAATGTGATTTTAATTTAATATTTTTACAGATAAACTTAATGTTTCTTTAATCATATTTGTAGTAGATAAGCCAGATTTGTGGTTATCCGACAAGGCCAATAATGATCATAACGTTTTGTTTAGGAAAATAAATAAAACACAAAAATATGGTGTACCTTATGTACCTATATTTTTAAGAAGTTTATAATCTTATATATCTATATCATATATAGGTAGATATATAAAAATAATAATATAATTACTGAAAATAAAAATAATATTAAAAAAACATAAATAAAGTAGTGTATTATTGAAATAAAATGAAAAATAAGTTGTTCATAATAGGTAAGTATATCTATTCCACCTATATATGCCTACGATTGATGTCAAAACAATGGCTAATTATAATTACAAATATAGGACAAAATAATTCAAAATATAATCCCAGCTAATGAACTTCTACATTTATATACTAATTGCAAATCCAATATTTACTATAATATAGATCAGGATTCTGTGGACTTTAAAACTTCTATTATTACCACCTTATTACATAATACATAGGTGTGCAGATTTTTAAAAAATCGTTTATTTTTTCTTTTTTATTACTGTGGTGGAAATTTTTCTCATGAACACCTTCCCCTTACGGTTGGCATCTAGTGTGAGGCTCACTGCTTGCCTTGTTTAAAGCACATGTCACTAAAAACAGCACATAGATCCTATTGTTCCACCCTGAAATTGCCTGTAATTACAACTGTTGTACCAAGAATTTATTTCTTCTGCAATCTGAACAAAAATAAACCTAACAGTAGAAAACAACCCCCATAAAGTACCCTTCAGATGTTCTGACTATGTGGAAAATCTAATCAGCTCATTTCAGAATAAAAAAACCTTAAGTTTAGAATTTGATGTTATTCTCTTTATCAATTTTTGAGTTATCTTGGATGCAGATAGACAATATCGCAAAAATGATCAAAACGGGGAACAATATTTTTATTGGGAGCTTTATTGCTGCTGTTCTTGAAGACAATCATATTTCTGTAATTTAACAAATGTCTGATTTACTTTAACAAATAACAATTTTTTGATTTTGTTTTTATTTAACTATTTAATAAATTAACAAAAATATATGTTATCAAAATAATATATCCATTAACCCAAATAAGATGAGTTCATTTTGCCAATACCTTCTGTTTTTAGTAAAGATATTCATCTCTTTTAACTTTCCAAGTACCTAGACTGAAACGTTTTTCATAAAAAATGGTTCCTAGAGACAGACTAATAGTTATAAAACTATACATTTTCATTAAAAAACTTCCATGAATTTTATCAGTCATATAATTTCATTAGGTATATTTATGTAATTACGCACTACAAATGTTTCGATATAAGCCATAATCATTTTTGGAATGTTAATTTTAAACTTGTGACTATACCTAGTAAAATTACCTATATAACCAATAAAAACAAAGATTTTTATTGAAAATATATATTATGTATAATAATATAGTCAAATTATTAAAAAAATATGTTATTACAATAAAACCCAATATTATTTTACCTGATTTTGTATACACCCACAACGCAAATAATTTTGAAGCTATTAGGTAGTAGACCCTTTATTATTCACTTTTGAAATTCGCAAGTGTTGCAAATCTAGATTGTGACCATAATGTATATTTTGAAAGGGTACATATACTGCTTATTCTCATCATCTCTTAGCTTTATATGACTTGTGCAACAACAAGCAATAACATCTAATTTACAAAACTTCCGTGACTTTTCAACAAACGACTTCATAGTTCTGAGCATTGCTTTTACCTGTTAAATTTGCATTAAATGTTTTAAACAACTGAAAATTATTCATCTTAGGTTTTTGTTAAATTGTGGTTATAATAAATAACATTTCCTCCAGTACTCTTCTAGGTTCTAGCTATAGTGTAGATATTAGTTACACTTATATTAACCATTTCAAAATTGCTTTTCCAGCTTTCAAATATTGGTGCTTAAAACATCATATTGGAATAAAAGGGAAACTTTTACCATTTTCATTTGCAAATACAATATCCTGTAATTGTGAACTTGCTGTATTAAACTTTCACTTTTTTGGTAGGATGAGTTAGGTATTGCAGTCCTGTTTCTGTTTCCAAACCGTGTACTTCTCGACTATGTCTATTTAAATTGGACTTCTTAGAAAACAATTTCTCACAAACGGAGTATACAACATTCAATTTTGATAAACAAAAATTATCACTCTTCTAGAATGAACAAAGGACAGAATGACAAGTTAAAAACGGCGCCAATCTTGATGACACATTTAGCGAGCAAGCGCATTATATAGAGCTACCAGTGGCATTTAGCATCTCGTAAAATATGGGACCACCATTGACGCGGTATTTTCCAGATATTTAGAGGATATCAAGTCTCAAACTTATGTTTCTTATTTCAGTTACCATAAACCTATATGTAGTTTCAATGATAAAAATTCCTGAATAACCTACATGTATTGTAAGATAATAAAAATATTTTAAATAATATTAACTTCTCATTTATTCAATAAAAGAAAAAAAATTGTTTTCTTATCGGTCACCACGCTCAAAAAGTGTAACTTGAATTAATATCAAAGAAAAAACAAATTAATATCGAAGAAAAAAAATACTGCATAATAATTGCATAAGTTGATAAAAAATGCTATACAATAGCTTTACCGCGGCAGTCCCCGAGTGCTACAAGTATTTATTGTATTACTATTGACGTGCCTCCAAATTTCAGTTAGGCGTCACGGCAGCGTGTCCCTGTGTCCGAGTTTAATCCATTACGTCACTAGCCTGCCTGTAAAAAATAAATTGCAGGCACTCTAACGTGCACCTAGTCACTTCGTTAATATTATTGTTTTTTTTTGAGGTTATGTGCAGACATGATTGTATACCAATGACATATATAGTTTAAATAGACTGCTTATCCATACGTAAATAAAACGATGAAAAGCGGGTCGAACTGGGAGATGTTTTCTCTTTGTCTAGTGCATGCAATGTTTGTGTTTTGTCTCAATTTTGAGTGCTCACTGGTAAACAAAACTTTCACAGGACCGGTTTTAAAGAAAGTTTAGTCTAGTTGAGATTTTGTTCTCATTGTCATTACTCAGTCGGACATTTTGTTGAGTTGTTTATTTTATTTAGTTTTAATTATACTTATGTTCTGTTTTAAATTTTTTAATTATTTGAATATAAAAACTTGTTTTCTTTTTAAATTTAAATGGTGAATTGCTCTATAAGGGGTTGTAAGACCAGCTACAGAAATATAAAAAGTAACATTTCATTTTTCACGCAAGTATCAATACAAGTAGGTACAAGGTAAATACGTTTATAATAATTTTATGAATTATAATTAATTATAATAATATTATTATTAATAGAGTATTTATTGTAAATACAATTACATAAATATTATTATATTCAAAGGCCCGAGTTAGAGCTATCTGGGCTTTACAAGTACATTTTAAAATTTAGTTAGATACAGAGAAGTATCGTATAATAAAAACTCAATATAAATAGAAGAAAAACGAACATAAGTACCAATACAAAGAGACAAACACTTTTATTCTTTGATAGGATCTTTCTATGTGAATTCTAGCTCTGGCAATTTTGGCATTAAGTAAAGCCTCTTGATGGCTGAACTAATTTTTTTTTTATTGAGGAAAGGAGGCTGTATAATTTGTATACCTTCAGCTTCTGTTATGTTTTCAATAAGAAAACCTTTGTTAAACATTTTACTATCGAGAAATGATTCACACACTTCAAGTATTAAACTTTGTTAAAAAATGTCTATTTCTGAAGTTCTACCACCATATGCTTCACTTTTGTAGGTAATGAGACCAGTAGGTGACACTCCAGTCAATATTTTAATAGTATGCCTCTTTTTGTAGTCAGAGTAATTTTTTAGCCTACAACAAACACATTTGGCTTGCTGTATTGGGATTTCGGTACAATCAAGTAGTACTCTTACTTACATAGAGGCACGTTATTTAATATTTCTTGTTTTGAAGGCCGAATTATACCATACTAAGAACTTCTACCAGTTTTATTAAAAAATGTTAAAAAATTTAATGATAAAAAGTTTCATTCACTCCAAATAAAACGGATAAGACATTATATCTTGCATATCAGTTTTCAACTTCATAAAAGTAAATATAACTTGATCCTTTACAGACATAACTGATCTCCTTTTTCCTATTCTTTAGAAACAACGAATTCCACAATGGTGGCTAATAACTGGAAGGATTGCAATCCTATAATAGTAGATAGTTCTTTAGCACTGACAATTCTGTTTGAAAACGGATCAACTAAATCACCACTCTTCACTTGTGTTGAACAATCGATCCCAATTTTCTGCTTTTAAACGAAGTTTTGTAAATTAAGCAAAGCTATTCAGCAGCACACAAATCTTCATTATCTGCTTCTGTAGTAGATATATGTTCATTAACTGCAAAAACACATTAAACACAATAATTATTAACCAAACATTTTAAATTATGCATACGTACATCCATTGCCTGAAGAAGATAACTCAACACTTAACATTCTACTAGTACTGACAACATATCATTATTAAAGACAGTAGCCATAATTCTTGTTTTAGCTGGATTACTTTTCTTTTTATTAATAGTCGTTTTCTTTTTACCACTAATCTGAGCTAACTTACATCGACTAAGCTTAGTTGTACGTTCTTTTTGTGATTGTAAGTCAGAATCTTTCTTTCCCCCTTACCGATGCTAAACGGATCTTGACGTCAACTAAGATTGCACTTTGTACCTAGTTCATTTTACTATGATGTTGATCAGATTTCCACTGGTGGAATCTTATTATTATTCATCAAATCATTCACATTCACCGCCAAAATAATCCCTAATTGTCTAAATGGAACAAACTTTAGAATGTGAAAAACTACTAACTTTTAGTAAAATCTTTAAAAAGTTCATTCAATTTTTGCATAATATCTGCTTTTATAATGCGAAATAAATTTTAAAAGAATAATCAAGTGTCCGAATAGTGCCACTATACAGTGGTCATGGTCTAAAGTTAGTTATATACACATGAGTGTAAAATTGTTCATATCTATCTTCAAAATTGGTTAGATCTCTTAAAATGTTTTGAAAATTGGGAAACTAGACGTTATGACTCAAAATCCTTTTTTAAAATATCTAACGCAAGCTCCTGTCTTGAAATAAACATACAGATAATTTTTTTTAATTCAATTCCTACTTTGATGAAATATGAGTTTTAAACTCATTTGGGCCAGACCGATTCTGCCTGGTGAGCACTCGGCAAGCCAAGCAATATGACCCGCTTTTCGTCGCCTTGTTTATATATGGATGAACAGTCTATTAATCTATATATGTCATTGTTGTATACAGAATGAGCAATGTTTTGACTGCCATAACCACTCTAGACTTAAAAGTAAACTAAACGGTATATAAATCTTTTAAACCACAGTTATCATTTTCAGGCCGTGACATATGCGGTTGTGCAGCCACCGGTACCGGCAAAACAGCTGCTTATATGTTACCAACCTTAGAAAGACTATTATATCGACCATCAGGCGACGTTCCTGTCATTAGAGTGCTGGTGTTAGTCCCCACTCGAGAATTGGGCGTCCAAGTTTATCAAGTCACTAAACAAATATGCCAATTCACCGACATACACGTTGGTTTGGCAGTAGGGGGGTTAGATTTAAAAACCCAGGAGAATATATTGAGGAAAAGTCCCGATATTGTTATAGCCACTCCTGGAAGATTGATAGATCATTTGAAAAGCACTCCCAGCTTTGGTCTGGACGCTGTAGAGGTACTAATACTCGATGAAGCTGATAGGATGCTCGACGAGTATTTTGCAGAGCAAATGAATGAAATTATCAAGCAGTGCTCTCGAAAACGACAAACGATGCTTTTTTCAGCCACCATGACTGAAGAGGTTGAAAGTTTAGCTGCGGTCTCGCTCTCAAAACCTATCAGACTCTTCGTAGACAGCAACAGAGATGTTGCCTTCAATTTACGCCAGGAATTTATTAGAATACGTTCTGATAATGAAATAGACCGGGAACCCATACTAGCAGCTTTAGTTTGTCGAACTTTCAGGGAGCATTGCATGGTGTTTGTACAAACCAAAAAACAGGCACATCGTGTGCATATTTTATTAGGACTTTTAGGACTTAAAGTTGCTGAATTACACGGAAATTTGACGCAACCTCAACGTTTGGAGAATTTGGAACGATTCAAGACTAAACAAGTCGATATCTTGATAGCTACAGATGTAGCGGCGCGTGGTCTGGATATATCAGGAGTACAAACTGTAATCAACTTTGTAATGCCTGCTACAGTCGAACATTACATACACAGAGTTGGTAGGACTGCTAGAGCGGGACGAGCAGGTGTATCCGTCAGTTTAGCGGGAGAAAAAGAAAGAAGGATAGTCAAAGACGTCATCAAACGTGCTAGAAACCCTGTCAAGAGCAGGGTAATTCCTCCGGATATTCTAGAAAAGTACAAAATTAAGATTGAAAGTTTGGAAGCACAAATAAACCAAATCCTACAAGAAGAATATGAAGAGCGGATGCTTAGTAAAGCCGAAAACCAAGCGAATAGAGCGGGAAAGATACTTAAAGGCGAAAAACCCGAAGCTAGACCCTGGTTCCAGACCAAACAACAACGAAAAGAGGAACAAGAAAAATTAAGCTTGAAGAACGTACCTAAAAAGGATAAAAACGACAAAGGACCTAAAGGCAAAGACAATAAAAAGAAGGGTAAAGGAAAGGACGGTCCGGAAGCTAGAATAACCGACGAGCTTAACAAAGTGATGCTGGTGCAAGCGCGATTAGCGAAACGGAAACACAAACAGAAGAAAATTAGTACCGTCCCAGATGATGGTTCGCAGAAGGCTGGGACTGTGGTGAAGAAGAAGAAATCTTACTTTTCCGATCTGGTCGATACGTCGCAGAAGAAGGCGAAGAAACTTAGATACGAAAGTAATTTTAAGCAGAAAATGAAGGGTAAGGGCAATAAAGGGAACGCTGGGAATAAGAAGAATAAAACTTTCGGGAAACCACAACAAAAGAAGAGAAAGTAAATTGTAATTTTTTTAAATAAATATTGTTATTTTTTAAATGTTTTTTTTTATTAATACTCATTATTGCTCTGATTTGTTCCACAATATTGATACATCAATCGTCATATCAGGAACAAAATAGATAAGAATAATTATAAAAGCATGAAGTTCATATAAAGTTATCAAATAAAGGAAGATGAATTAAAGATACAATTATTCAAAACATTTTTCATATCGCATCTTCAGAAGAACAATGACGCAAGTGCAAAAACAATTCCTCAGAAATGATAATTACATTTTTTGTTTATTTATGATCATTGGTTAACTAAGCAACAGTAATCCTGCAAATAATGAAGGAAGTTATAATATACCTACAGCAAATTTATTCTAGTTATAGATAGCGCATTCAATTTCCAGAATTTTCCAAAAAATAAGTAGCTACAGCCTATATAAGTCAATGGCCTTCCATTTACGTCATTGTTCTTCTTTTACATATAATACTTTTTACATTTATGACACAATTTAATGCCAAAATTTATTTATCTAACTCATATTTCTTAACTCGTTGCTTCAGGAAGGTAGCCTATTAAGAAAAATTAGTATTATAAAATAAATGTAATAAAAACTTTAATAGTAACAATAATTACAATTTTAAACTATAGATCAAGAATGTCGCAATCCACACTTGCGTCTTTATACCACTAGAATTTGACCGAAAACTTTTAAAACAGGTAAGAAGTAACAAATGCGTCGTTATAGTAGCGGAACCTAAGTTGAAAGCTACGGAGTTACGAAGTATCTTCCCCCTACCGACACCTGTGCGTACTAAATTTAATTCGTCCCAATGTTTTGACATTTATAGTTAACTAAAAATTTAAAATTTTGGACGTCATTGTTTTTCTGGGGAATCGAATATCTTCAGTGCTAACGAAAATACTGAAAAATTCAAATTTTCTTACAGCTACGGTCCCTTTTAGAAAAATCATGTTTATGCCAAAATGCCAGTGAATTGTATATTTAAAATGGAAGAACAATTTCTCAGATAATACAATATATGACAATGACAACCGCCTATAATAAAACAGCAGTCTTCTGCGTATCCTGAATTTGTATCCCTGGAGTGGATGTTATTTTGGAACTTTCAACTGGTCCGAGTGAGCTAACTGATTCTTTAGCAATAAACTGTGACTCCAAAAATAATATTCACTGACAGCAGCAAGCAAAATATCAGGTGCGGTTTAATCATCCGCTTCTGCTTCCGGAATTGTCGGTTCAGTCGTTCTAACCTGTCAGATTAAAACAAGAAAACCGACAATTCCGAAGCCGATTTGAGATTTCATTTAACTCAAAATCGGCCGATTTTAGAGAAAAAAGTCATTGATGCTTTTTTGTAGAGTGGACATTTTCCCATTGAAATTTACTTTTGGCAAGCCGAGAAAATGTGAAATGCGCAAGTTACAAGTAAAAAATGGATCACTTTTTCATTAAAAATCGAGTTTTCTCAAAAACGGCTGCTGGAACCGATTTTGAAAAATATATTGCGCCAATCTATAGCCCTTCAGAAATACTTTGACCGAAAAAAAAGTCTAGCAAATAAACTTTTCATTTAAAGTTGGTTCCCAAGCACCGTGATAAACATGGTGATGGTAAAATTTCAAATTTTTTAAATAGACTCTCGTGATTATTCAGATGGATACGCTCTACCACTACTAGACTGGCGCGTATTGTTCTATCTCTGTCTTATCACTAGCATCGCTTATTCTATATCGTTCTTCTGGCAGCATTGTAGGAAAGTTAATAGGTTGTATTTGTTGCCATTTTCATATTTCGTCTAAATGTTTTTGTGTCTTCTGTAAAATCACTCTACTCTAAACCTAGGAAGTTTTAATAATCAGCCAATGATAACTGCTTCTATAAATGAAGAAATATATACCTACCTACCAAATGAATACCCTACACGATTTTTGTTTTACGAAAAATCCTAAACCTGGCTTTTTTTAACTAAATCTGTGGACATATCAACTATTTACTACAGCACTACATTTCAATTAAAAACACTGGTTACTTTGTATGTTATTACAACGCATAGAACAATAAATCAAAGAGTAATAAAATAAAACTTATTGCAAAGTTACTTCATCAATATTACGTGCTTAGTCACAGTAGTCACTGTCAAAATCCCAGCGTCGAAAAGTAAACCGTCTAAATTTAAATCGGCGCTCGTTTGTTTTCTACCGATTGATCCGTAAGTGAATAGGCGAGCTTTCATTGGCCGAAATTCTAAAGCCATCCTCTCTTAAAACTAATTCCCCTATTGTTGCACCATGCCAATCGAGGGGAGGTATTTAAGATGACATCATCTTTTACGTAGCTATTAAAAAATCAGTTCGCGAATATTCGAAGTACGTGGAACTGTTCATTAAAGGAGTGTTTGTAATTTTATTGGTATAATTTTTTGCGTTAACCTTTAAAAATGTCGATATACCTAGTTGTAACGTGTTGTGTATTTGTGTGCATTTAAATAATAAAATTGTGATAATGTTAGACATATCTCGATCATATGGAATATAAGAGAAAAATCCTTATTAACCTACTACAATGAGAATTTGGATCTTTTCAACCTTATGTAAGTGTAATTAAATTTTAATTATTTGAAATAAACCTATCTAACTTATTTTTAAAGAATTTCAAATAGGGTCAATGCAAGAACTGGGCGTCCATTTATTTTTTCAGGATATAGGTAGGTAAAAAACGAATCTGATCAACTTTTGACCTGTATTCATTTAAATATGTTATCGACATAAACTGTGTGTACCTATGTGTATTAATAATATTGTCCACTTTAAACACAGTTTTGGTGTTAATATTTTTGTCGGATATCGTGAAACAACACCGGTTTTTTTGGATTTTGAGTCATAATAACCAAAATCGAAGAATGACTAAACAAACTAATATGTGCAATGAAAGCATACTACAATTTATGTATAGAATATTTAGCAATTTTATTTAAAAACAGTTTAAACTTGAATAATAAAATGAACGTTTTTTTTTAATCAATCTAAATCGATATAAATCTGGAAACGAAGCACGAAAGTGGCTAACGAAGTATCTCGAACAGCTCCGATTCGGGTCTAAACATAAGCGGGTGCCGCGAACATTTGAAAAAGCACAGTGCCGTCTTGGGTAATTTGAAACCGATCAATATGTTTTTGCTATATTACTCTACTGTACCTAATGTTACTATTAGAGATAGAAATCTAGTTTTTTGGAATAGGAAGATGTAAAATATAACAGAGAATATGTTCTATATTAAAAATTAAATACTTTTGGTAAATATATGGAACTATTACTTCTTGCATTGAACCCTTCTATTGACATTTTTTTGTGGATCATATTGTACCAAAATGCCCGTCAAAAGCACTGACTATGCTCGAAATACAATCATCTCACCACAAGATGGATTTAAGCTTAAATTTAGAATGTTGTTGTTCTCTTTTATCCGTTTTTAAATTATTGTAGATACAGAGACATCATCGCAAAAATAGTCAAAACGGATTCAGGGTACCCCAAACGTAAACATTTCTGTACTTTACTTACTGCATACAGAAAAGTTAAAATGACTATAAATCCTAGAAAACTATAAATCTGTTTCTATTTGGAAACAGTTATTTTAAACCAACAGTATGTCGATGATAATTTATGCTTTTTGTGGTTCGTGTTTCGTAATCGTTAAATAATTGCAAATGGTAGACATAATATTATACTTTTTATTTTCGGTTGATATTAGTTACTGTTTCAAAACTATTTGTAAAGGACTAAACAACGCAAGGAAAATTATGTTGTAAAGCTTAATTTATAACCGCCGTAACGTAACTTAAGAACTCGTATACTTATTTATAAATGTTCGTAACGTAACTTAAAACGTACCGTAGAAAGTTCGCCAACTTTTAACTTAACAACTTAAGACCTTACGGTCAGCCAATGAGATAATTCTGAGTTCAGCATGTGGACAAATACCATTTGTAAACTATCATTCTCCTTTTTTATGGACATACATTATCATAAATGATTTGTGTTTCTGTTATTGGGGATAAACTATTTATGAGATATGAGTGTTGTTGCATATACCTATAAACATCAAGTCTAGAACTGAAATAAGAAACAAAACTATAGTTTGCTGGGAAATATTAAATTCTCAGTATTGCTCAAAAACAATCAACATCTTCGGTAAACTATTCTGTTTTATTATATTTTTATATTATTGCTTTTAAAGTAGTTAAAATCATAATTTATAAGTTTTATTTGGAGGTTAGGTACATAGTTCTTCTTCTGTTCCTTTTATGGGCAATGTCCTTCGGGACAATTCACCCAAAGGTATAGTTCTTCCATTATCAATTGCAGATCATAAAAACTCGTTCGGAACCTTTACCGACAATTTTGTTTGATCTGCCATAGGCGTAGATACCTACCTCATTTTATAAATTTATTTTATTAATACTTTTAATATATATCATATGCAAGAAAGTATTCGTTAAAAGGAAATCGAATAATTATAAATTGGACGTTATTATACGCCCTTATTTAGACAGATGCACTTAATTGTAATCTTACTTGGACTTAAAAAAAAAATCATTATAGCTCGTTAACTTGCTACAACTGAATATTAAATTATATAACGTAAAAAAGCGAGTAAAGTGTACCTGCCTGTAAGGGCGTTTGGTTTAAACAGGGTACCAGACGTGAACTGAACCCTTTTTGTACCCCATTCGTTCTTTTTCTGGAAAACGAAATTTCAAAGAAAAAACCATGAAGGAAAATAAAATCTTTGCAAATAAAACAAAAGAAAAAAAACAATTCAATTCTAAAGTATCTTTATAAATAATCATGGCAGTCTGAATCCTCTGAACTAGAGTCATCATTTGGTTGAATTATGATGGGTTGTAAAGAGGGTAATATTACATACTCATCTTCTTCTTTGATAACATGTTCAACACAGTTTTTCCAAAGCTCTTGGCGGTCTGCTGCTAG